TCAGAGTGCGAAGCATCGCTAATCCTTGGGGGAAATGCAAATCAAAACCAGGGCATCACCTCACATCTATAAGGATGGCTATCAACAGGAAGACAAGAAGGGTGAGCAAGGATGTGGAGAAAAGAGAAGCCCTGTATACTGCTGGTGGAATTATAAACTTGTTCAGCCACTATGGAGAACAATGTAGAGGTTCCTCAAGATATTAAAAATAAAACGACCATACAATCCAACAATCTCACTTGCATATACATCCAAAAGTAATGAAAACAGGTTATTAAAGAGATATTTGTATCCTGTGTTTACTGCAGCATTATTCACAATAGCCAATATGGAAATAACTAAGTTTCTTGTCAATGGACAAACATGAAGATGTAGTACATACAGTGGATCCTTGAAAGACACAGGCTTGAACTGAGTGGGTCCACCAAAGGTTTCACAAAGGTTTTTACACTAAGTATGTACTATGGTACTATATGATCAGTGGCTGGATGCCAAACTGCACATACTGACACCAACTACAAAGTTATATGTGGGAATTCATGCCCCTAATTCCATAATCATTCAAGGGTCAACTCTGTATACAATGGACTTCTCTTCAGCCATGAGGGGGAAAAAATATCCTGCCATTTGTCACAATGTGGTTGGGTCTGAAAACATTATGCTAAGTGAGATAAGTCAAAGACTATGACTTCCCTTCTATGTGGAATCTTTAAAAAAAAAAACCCAAAAACTACCATCAAACTTATACAGAGAACCGATAACTGGGTGATGGTTGCCAGAGGTGTATGCATTAAGTATGTGAAGGTGGTCAAAAGGTACAAGTTTCCAGTTACAAAGTTTAAGTCCTGGGGATATAATATACAACATGCCGACTATAGTGATTAATAGAATAAATCTGAGAAGTCAGGAAAAAAGGAAAAAACAGATTTAACAACTATATGTAATAATAAACATTTAGATTTGTGATCATTTTTAAATATATGCAAATTTCAAATCATTTTGATGTATGCCTGAAATGATTATGTTGAGTATAACTCAATAAAAAATAAGTTAAAATGTTAAAAAAAACACCAAACTTGAAAAAACATAGTGGAATGGTGGTTACCAGGGGGTGAGGGAATGTATGTTTAAAAGGTACATACTTGCAACTAGTAAATAAGTCCAAGCGATCTGATACACAGTACAGTGATTATGGACAACAAAACTGTATAATAAACATTAAACTTATTAAGATAGTAATTGTTCTCACCATAAGAAGAAATAATTATATGATGTTGACAGATGTATTAGCTAACATTACAAAGGTAATCATACTACATTATAAATGTAACAAACCAATATGTTATACACCTTAAACTTACAATGTTATGTATCAATTCTGTCTCAATTTCTAAAAAGCCCCAGAAACAATGATACCCCAGAAGCAATGAGCTCATCTAACTTCTGGATCTTGGTTTCTAAATACTAAGAAGAATCAAGATTCCTTGGAGATATGACTAATTCCAGGATTTTTAAACAAGGAAGACACAAGGTGAGTTTGGATCATCCCGTGACAAAAATGGGAAACACTCAGAAGTTTTCAGCGGATAATGTCAGAAAGACACAAGAGCCAATTAAAAGGACTGTTACTAATGCTAGGTCTATTTGAGCACCAGAAGGGACTTATGAACAATGCTTCTATAATTTACCACAAATGCCACATCACTTAGAAATGCTTAAGGGAACAGAACATGGAACACACATTTCTGAATCCACACTGGTGATCAAATTTACTTTTGGCAGCCACAAATTTATGAATTCTAAGTCCTTCATGTGTGCAGATGAGAATAAAATCCAAACAGTTAAGCATTCTGACATAATTAGAAGATTAAATGAAAATATGTTATCTAACCTGTAATTGCAGTAAGCTACTATGTGTAAAAGTTCCTTCCAATAAATCACAGGATAAAAAAAAAAATTACCTATGACTGTAACACAGGGAATGAGAATTCCTGAATCCATGATTACACTTAAAGAGGAAGGCTAAGACGTACCTCGTACAGAAAGGTGCTGGCTAACAAATTTTAAAAGTATAGAAGATTAAGTTACCATTTTGTAATACCCCTGCCCAGTATAAAAACCGATACAGGCAAGAATCACCAAGAGTACAGGGCTTCCCGAGGGGCTCAGCGATAAAGCATCTGCCTGCAATGCAGGAAATGCGGGTTTGATTCCTGGGTCAGGAAAATCCCAGAGAAGGAAATGGCAACCCACTCCAGTCTTCTCACCCAGAAAATCCCATGGACAGAGTAGTCTGGCAGGCTATGCAGTCCGTGGGGTCGTAAAGAGTCGGACACAACTGAGCATTCACACAAACATGTGCCAAAAAGTCTTAATTTGTAGCAGATAAATGCTGAAACATTTGTGATCAAATACTTCAGTAAAAATATAGAAATGTAGAGAAAATAAACATGGCAGAATGTTAACCTGAATCTAGGAAGATGTTACAGGGTTGTTCACTGTACTATTCTTTTTTCTGTACATGTGAAAAGTTAGCTAAGTCGCTCAGTCGTGTCCAACTCTTTGCGATCCCGTGGACTGTAGCCCACCAGGCTCCTCCGTCCATGGGATTCTCCAGGCAAGAATACTGGAGTGGGTTGCCATTTCCAAGAATTTTTCTTAACAAAACTGGGGATTACCTTCATAATTAAAAGTAGGAATTATTAGCACATGATGAGATTTCCAAAAACTGACTTTGCACTCACTGTATTTAAATTTTTACTAGTATATGGTAATTTTTACAAAGTAAAAAATTTAAGGTAAGTTTAAGCAATTATTTTTAAAAATTCAAAATTTAAAGTCATTAAGACCTGTAACTACATGTAACAAAAGGATAAATGACCTTGAATAAGTGACTGAACATATATGCTTCCCCCTCCCCATTTGTAAAATTAGGCCTCAGCTATACTGTGTGTGTGTGTGTGTATCTGCAGTATTCAAAATTCCTGAATTCCTAGGGCTTCCCTGGTGGCTCAGTGGTAAATAATTTGCCTGCCAATGATGCATGAGACATGGGTTCAACCCCTAATTCCAGGAGATCCCACCTGTCAAGGAACAATTAAGTCCATCTGCCACAACTACTGAGCCTGTACACTCACTCTCTCTCCAGTAGCTCAGCTGTGTTCGACTCCTTGCGGACTGCATGGACTGTAGCCCACCAGGTTCCTCTGACCATGGAATTTTCCAGGCAAGAATACTGGAGTGGGTTGCCATTTCTTCCTCCAGGGGATCTTCCCAACCCAGGGATGGGACCCCCACCTGTACTTGCAAGTCGATTCTTTACCACTGCACCACTTCTCAGCTATACCGAAGCTTTCCCAAAAGGGTTTGTCTTTAAGGGGTAGAAGGTATAGCAGAGAGAAGGATCTCCTAAGCACTCATGGGAACAACGGAAGGTGCCCATCCCAAGCACAGTAGATGATGCTCTTTCACCTCAACATCAGCTTTAACAACTAACTGAAAAGTAAGCAACTGTCAATCTTTTCAGCGGAGCTGCTGGAGAAGGTTACATACCACATGCCAAGAAGGGTAGACAGGCAGACCAAGCTGTGACTGACTGGTCTCAGCGATGATATGGTGAAGCTGAGTTGTTGGCTCCTGACAGGAGCAACTGGAACCCTTAAATCTCTTGTCTTCTCTGTTCAAATAGCATTCAAGACAGCTGCAATGCTGCTATGCACACAAACTCTCAAATTGAAGCTACATCTTTACATTTACATCGTTGTTTGTAATGTTGGGCTCAAAATACATTCACATTTTTCTAAAAGTCAGTACTAAATAAAAAGGACAAGCCTTTATCTTTAAGCACTTTAACAAAATTTTTGAATGTCTTGAAAAAAAATGCTCTGAATGTATCATATATTTATGCAAATGAAACTTCTTGCTGATGATGATTGTCAATAATTTGGAGATTATTAAAGTATGTGTAGCTCTTTCAAGCATAAAACCAACATAAATCTTACTAGAGAAACAAGATCAAGTTCATTAAACTTTGAAAATATTTTTAATTGGAAAGTTTCACTATTATTATTCCTTATTTTATCAGGATTATACAAAATGTCAAATTATTCTTTTGCAGTTTACTCCATTATACTATACCATAAGAATCATCTTCTAGAGATGGTCTTCCTATTAATTCACTGTTGAGCCTAACCATATACCATATGCATACTTTAGATGCTACAGAAAACACAAAAATAAACACTGATCTCAAGGGGCTTAACAAAATACAGAATTTACTGCAACGCTTGCAACAAGGCAATTGTATGTAAGGAGTGGGAAGGGGAAAAAAAGCAGTATTTAAAATGTTGATTCCTGGGGCTTCCCTGGTGGCTCAGTGGTAAAGAACCTGCCTGCCAATGCAGGAGACATGGGTTCAATCCCTCATTCAGAAAGATCCCACATGTCGAGAAACAAGTCAGCCCATCTGCCACAGCTATCGAGCCTGCGCTCTAGAGCCCGGGAGCTGCAACTACTGAGCCCACATGCCACAACAGAAGCCCACACACCCCAGAGCCTGCGCTCCACACAGAAGCCCCCACACTGAGAAGACTGCACACCACAACTAGAGAGTAGCCTGCACATCAAAGTAGACCCAGCACAGCCAAAAATAAATAAAATTCTTTTTTAAAAAGCTGATTCCTGGGAATTCCCTGGCAGTCCAGTAGTTAGGACTCCAAGATTTCACTGCTGTGGGCCCAGATTCAGTCCCTCATCAGGGAACTAAGATCATGCAAGCTGCATGGCATGGCCAAAAAGGATGATTCCTAAGCGTCACCTTACACCAAGAGTCAAAATCTTTGGGGAAAGAGAACAGAACACTGCATTTTAAATTCTGGAGATGGTTTTTGTGAGTTTTAAAGTTACAAAACCACAGATTTTACAAATAGCTCTGGGATTAGTTTAGGAAAAGTATAACTTGAGGCCTCGGAGTCGCCTCCGCCGGCGCCGTCGCCATAGCCATGGCCAGTCAGTCGCAGGGCATCCAGCAGCTGCTCCAGGCGGAGAAACGGGCCGCCGAGAAGGTGTCCGAGGCCCGCAAGCGAAAGAACCAGAGGTTGAAGCAGGCCAAGGAAGCAGCCCAGGCTGAAATTGAACAGTACCGCCTGCAGAGGGAGAAGGAGTGCAAGGCCAAGGAAGCTGCGGCTCTGGGATCCCATGGCAGTTGCAGCACTGAAGTAGAGAAGGACACCCAGGAGAAGATGACTATCCTTCAGACCTACTTCCGGCAGAATAGGGATGAAGTCTTGGATAACCTCTTGGCCTTTGTCTGCAACATCCGGCCAGAAATCCATGAGAACTACCGCATAAATGGAGAGAGGGAGAAGAAAAGTGCCTGTTCTGTGGATTGGCGTTTTGAATGCCTTCATGGAACGTGAGGTTTCATTTAGCAAGGCTTGAGTTATATCTTATGAAAAGGCATTAAATTATTTCTGTACATTATATAGTAGGTCCCTTCACTTTTTGCTGAATCGAAAACGTAGATTCTTTGTACAGGCTTAGAGCTTATCCAAAGATTGTATCTTTTTACCTCATATTTCTTAGAAATTTAGTGGATATATGTTGTGTTTTTTCTATGCCTTTTCACTCAAGCAGCATATTATCAACACTGACTTTTTCTTTCTTAGATAGTTTTTAAAAACCCAATTTTCTTAAGAAAGAAAGGGATTAAAATGTTTATTTTCCCCTAAATCTTTCTTGAAGGTCAGGGGCTTTATCTATGAAAAAGTAGTAAACAGTTATTTGTAACCCACATGAAACAGCAGCCAGCCTTAAAATAGTCCTTTCCAGCCAAGGATTAGAATAATGGGTCCTAGTGTTGGGCTGCTCTTAGTTTCTCTTATTCAAACTTACTAGATGGTAGAGTTCACTAACTTGTTACATGTTACTACTTGGTGTACTGATATTGTACTGATAATCACTGAAAAGTAAAGACTGTTGCATTCCCTCCTCAAAAAAAAAAAAAGTATAACTTGACATAGTCTGTTGTTTTAACATAAGGAAAGTCCCTCCCACTGATTCCTTTTTTGGCTACACCAGAGACATCTCTGTAAAGATAACTTGGTTATTCACAGCAGAGGCCAGCAACCTTCATAGCATCATCTAACTTGCTTGCTCCAGGTTTAAATATGGTATCAATAGGCATTTTGAGTTCAGTTAAGTCGCTCAGTCGTGTCCGACTCTTTGCGACCCCATGAATCGCAGTACACCAGGCCTGCCTGTCCATCACCAACTCCCAGAGTTTACTCAAACTCATGCCCATTGAGTTGGTAATGCCATCCAGCCCCATCTCATCCTCTGTCGCCCCCTTCTCCTCTTGCCCCCAATCCTTCCCAGCATCAGGGTCTTTTCCAATGAGTCAACTCTTCGCATGAGATGGTCAAAGTATTGGAGTTTCAGCTTCAGTCCTTCCAATGAACACCCAGGACTGATCTCTTTTGGATGGACTGGTTGGATCTCCTTGCAGTCCAAGGGACTCTCAAGAGTCTTCTCCAACACCACAGTTCAAGAGCATCAATTTTTTGGCGCTCAGCTTTCTTCACAGTCCAATCTCACATCCATATAGGACCACTGGAAAAACCATAGCCTTGACTAGACGGGCCTTTGTTGGCAAAGTAATATCTCTTGCTTCTTAATATGCTATCTAGGTTGGTTTGGCCCGAGGTCAGGGGTGGCAGCCGAGAGAAGCAACCCCCCCCCCGCCCCACCCCGCCGTCCAAGGAGCAGCGGCTGCGTGGTTGCAAGAGGGCCGAGAGGAGCTACTCCACATTCAAGGTCAGGAGGGGCAGTCATGAGGAGATACCCCTCATCCAAAGTAAGGAGCAGCTGCTGTGCCTTGCTGGAGCAGCCGTGAAGAGATACCCCACTTCCAAGGTAAGAGAAACTCAAGTAAGAGGGTAGGTGTTGCGAGAAGGCATGAGAGGGCAGACACACTAAAACCATAAACATAGAAAACGAGCCAATCTGATCACAGGACCACAGTCTTGTCTAACTCAATGAAACTAAGCCAGGCCATGTGCGGCCACTCAAGACGGTCGGGTCATGGTGGAGAGGTCTGACAGAATGTGGTCCACTGGAGAAGGGAATGGCAAACCACTTCTGTATTCTTGCCTTGAGATCCCCATGAACAGTATGAAAAGGCAAAATGATAGGATACTGAAAGAGGAACTCTCCAGGTCGGTAGGTGCCCAATATGCTACTGGAGATCAGTGGAGAAGTAACTCCAGAAAGAATGAAGGGATGGAGTCAAAGCAAAAACAATACCCAGTTTTGGATGTGACTGGTGATAGAAGCAAGGTCGGATGCTGTAAAGAGCAATATTGCATAGGAACCTGCAATGTTAGGTCCATGAATCAAGGCAAATTGGAAGTGGTCAAACAAGAGATGACAAGAGTGAACCCCGACATTCTAGGAATCAGCGAACTAAAATGGACTGGAATGGGTGACTTTAACTCAGATGACCATTAATCTACCACTGTGGGCACGAATCCCTCAGAAGAAATGGAGTAGCCATCATGGTACTTTGAGAAGCCGCCCGCAAAAAAGCCAAACAGACTAGGCCCAAGGCTACCAGGTTTATTGAACCCCCAACTTCCACTATTAAAAACACACAGAATTTTTGCACAAGAAAGGAAACTATAAGCAAGGTGAAAAGACAGCCCTCAGACTGGGAGAAAATAATAGCAAATGAAGCAACAAAGGATTAATCTCAAAAATATACAAGCAACTCCTCCAGCTCAACTCCAGAAAAATAAATGACCCAATCAAAAAATGGGCCAAAGAACTAAACAGACATTTCTCCAAGGAAGACATACAGATGGCAAAAAAACACATGAAAAGATGCTTAACATCACTCATTATCAGAGAAATGCAAATCAAAACCACAATGAGGTACCATTACACGCCAGTCAGGATGGCTGCTATCCAAAAGTCTACAAGCAATAAATGCTGGAGAGGGTGTGGAGAAAAGGGAACCCTCTTACACTGTTGGTGGGAATGCAAATTAGTACAGCCACTATGGAAAACAGTGTGGAGACTTCTTAAAAAGCTGGAAATAGAACTGCCATATGACCCAGCAATCCCACTTCTGGGCATACACACCGAGGAAACCAGATCTGAAAGAGACACGTGCACCCCAATGTTCATCGCAGCACTGTTTATAATAGCCAGGACATGGAAGCAACCTAGATGCCCATCAGCAGACCAATGGATGAGGAAGCTGTGGTACATATACACCATGGAATATTACTCAGCCATTAAAAAGAATTCATTTGAATCAGTTCTAATGAGATGGATGAAACTGGAGCCCATTATACAGAGCGAAGTAAGCCAAAAAGATAAAGACCATTACAGTATACTAACACATATATATGGAATTTAGAAAGATGGTAACAATAACCCTATATGCAAAACAGAAAAAGAGACTCCGATGTATAGAACAGACTTGTGGACTCTGGGAGAAGGCGAGGGTGGGATGTTTCAAGAGAACAGCATCGAAACATGTATATTATCTAGGGTGAAACAGATCACCAGCCCAGGTTGGGTGCATGAGACAAGTGCTCGGGCCTGGTACACTGGGAAGACTCAGAGGGATCTGGTGGAGAGGGAGGTGGGAGGGGGGACCAGGATGGGGAACACATGTAAATCCATGGCTAATTCATTTCAATGTATGACAAAAACCACTGCAATGATGTAAAGTAATTAGCCTCCAACTAATAAAAATAAATGGAAAAAAAAAACACACACAGAATTCTTAGGTATACTCTACTAATACCAAAGTCTGACCTTGAAAATTCTTCTCTTACTTTTTTTTAAGGCTCTGCCTGTGATAGGCTTTTTTTAATCGGAGGATGACTGCTTTACAATATTGTGTTAGTTTCTGCCATAAATCAACATGAATCAGTCATAGATACATATATGTCCCCTCCCTCTTGAACTCCCATCCCACCCCTCCAGGTTGTCACAGAACACCAGTTAGCATCATTCGGCAAATTCCCACTGGCTATTTACATATGGTAGCTAACTCATTAGAAAAGACCCGGATGCTGAGAAAGACTGAAGGCAGGAGGAGAAGGGGACGGACAGAGGACAAGATGGTTGGATGGCATCATCAACTCAATGGACATGAGTTTGAGCAGGCTCCAGATGATGGACAGGGAGGCCTGGAAAGCAGCAGTCCATGGGGTGGCAAACAATCAGATAGCACTGAACAAAGGTTTGTTTCAATGTTACTCTTTGAACTGTCTCCCTCTCCTTCCCTAACTGTGTCTACAAGTCTGTTACCTTAACTAAGTCTTTAAAAGTATTGACTAAAAGAGGCTGAGTTGAGCATTCTTTTCTCATTCCTTTCCTTCAATTATGAAAATGTTCTCCAACTGCACAGTTCAATATGGCAGCTACGAACATGCGGCTACTGAAATGTGACTAGGGACCAAAAGGCTGAATTTCTAAAATTTTATTTAATTTTAACTCATCTTAGCACAAAATTAGGGACTTCCCTGGCAGTCCACCCGTTAAAATTCTACACTTCAAATGCAGGGGGCTCACGTTCGATCCCTGGTCGGGAAGCTAAGTTCCTGTGCCGCACTAAGCCGTATGTGGGCAGTGCTACCACACTGGACAAAGCTGTGAAGTCCTATGGCCCATATGAATCAGGGTAAGTATCTACTCTAGCATCCAGAAGCAACCAATACTAATTTTCCCAGATGTCCCACTTTCACTTTGGTTTCCTTAAGAGAGCTCGCTTCATGACCAACTAAACCCTTATTGTTGTTGTTCAGTTGCTAAGTTGAGTCCAACTCTTTTCGATCCCATGCACTGTAGCCTGCCAGGCTCTTCTGTGCAATGGATTTTCCCGGCAAGAATACTGGAGTTGCCATTTCCTTCTGCAGGGGAGCTTCCCGATCCAGGGATCAAACCCGCCCTAACTTAAAATATATATCCTGATTTAATATTTCTCCAGTAGGCAGGGACTCTAGGTTTACTGTGTACAGCTCCAAGTCATTCATCCAAAATGTTGGCTCACTTATTAAAATTCTAGTTATAATTACTGTGTACATAATAGGATAACTTACAGAAGCATAATCACAACAAATACTTTAATATTAGAATTATTCTAAGCATTTTACCTACAGCTGACCCTTAA